ATATAATTTATCCTTATTAGATGCAAAACAAAAGTAGTACTGCAGACACAGAAGCAGAATTGTTCTTTCTAGTTTCTGATTGCATTTGCTCATAACTGTTATAGTGAATCTGTTTAGTGTGAACTTTGAACTGGATTGAGCACTTGAGGAAAAATAACGTGAGTCATGTAACTAGCTGTTTGGGTGTTCTTACCAGCTTTACTGATTCAGAGAAGCTTAGAGTCACCAGTTAAGAAAACTATATTTTTGGTGATCTTTTATTTAACTGATTATTCAATGAAGCTTATTTTGTGGCCGTTTTCTTTAAACTAGAACCCGATCGATACAGCTTGAATGAAAGGTTTAAAAATATATCTGTTGGCTGATTCATAATGAATGAATCAATGAATTTATAGCATTGAGGATTGAGGACTGCCATCCCAGGAATGGTGTCAAAATCGTTTCTTATATTTTATTGCCAGTTTATTGCCAGTTGATTACTCTAAATTAATTTTGAACTTAGAATATGTTTCCTTTTAGACTACAGCTGTGGCATGCTTTCAAGTAGTACAGTATATATGCTATATAGTTTCTCACTTAGTACATTAATTGAACAGGATAGTCCATATTTATTACCCATTATCCAGTTCAGGGTTAAGATAAGATAAGATAAGATAAGATAAGATAAGATAAGATAACCTTTATTAGTCCCACACGTGGGAAATTTGTTTTGTCACAGCAGGAAGTGGACAGTGCAAGGCTGTTGTAGCGAGGCTGGAGCCTGTCAGTGGATTTATATTTGTTAAATGTTGAATTTACACTGTAGGTACATCGCAGACATCTCTGAAATCCTACATGGTAGCATGCACCTCCCTGGAAATGTAAGTACATGTTGCTTCGACTGGCCTGTTCAGTACCGTCGATTCATTCTGTGCATTTCCAAGTAATTTTTTGCTGCAGTTTTTGAATTTGTCAGTGAGAGAACAGGAATGATTATCTCAATATAAGGACTCAAATATGTCCTGGAGAAGGATTGCAGAAATTGCAATTATTGGAATGTACGTAAGGGAATGACCCCCCAAAAAAGAGTGGAGGACCCAGGAGGGAAAAGCATCTTATTTGTTCCTATTGTGGCTGGTACCACATATAAAACACTGTGACACAACCATGAGGTAATTAACAGATTAAAAACCACACAAAGTCCTGAATGCCGGTAATGGTGTCGTGAACTGTTGGTGCTATAGGCTCGACAAAGATTTACCGCAGAAGTCTCTTTTAGCTAGCACTGGCATCACTTGCAGCACTGACAACACATCCACTGGCTGAAAATTGCTGTAATTCTTATGTCCTTCTCCTTTTGCTTTATAGCTAAAATTTTAATCACTAAGGGTAAGAAATCTGTTGCATTATATTTCTTTATAGGTGTTTTATCAGGATTACGTGCAGCTGCTTGTCTAAGACACTGATGAATGAGTAGTCTAGCTTATCTTGGGAGATGAAACATAGATTGCGGCTATTCTTAAATAAAAAGTGCCAGAAGACGTACTGACCTTTATACACTATGCATTAACACTACAGAAAATAAATAACGTTCGCCTTCTATAGCGTTCAGCGCATACGAATATTGCCACCCTTCCCCCACATCTCTGCTTTTAACTACAAAAAGCGCTCTTTCATTTAGCCGAACTCCAAATCATTTTTCACCAACGACTTAGAGAAAAATTACATTTTCTCTCTCTCTTGCTCTCTCCTTCCCTCCCTCTTCTTTCACTCAGCTGCAGCTCCAAAATGCAAGCGGGCTGTCGTCTCTCCCTTCTGTCTGCCCCATCTGTGATGCAGTATGGGCCACTGGCTTGATAATGATAGGCAGGCGGAGCGTGGGGCTGTGCACAAGGCAAAGATGGAAAATACCAACCTGCTAAAATGGAAGACAAAACTCTAATCAGTTGCTTCACCAAGTCTACTTGAGGTCTTGCCCTGTAGCGGCTCTCTCTCTGCCCTGCATTCCTCCCATCCTTGAAATCTGTAACATGCTGAGCCGTGCACTGCAGAGATGCGAGGTGGTAAAGAGGCAGAGGACAGCGTCTTGATAACACAGCAGATGTAAACCCTCTGAAAGCCATCAGACCAGAATTGGTACCATGTGTTTTTCTTTCCTCATCGCCCCTCCTTCCTGCCTGCACTTGTGTTTGAGTGAGAAAAGGCCCAGAGGCTCGTTAAAACTTTAATATACTGTACAATCACAGTAATTGAGTAGAATTTTCAAGTTCTTCCAGTCATGGTTTTAATTTATGAAGTCCCTATGAAAGTTTAATGGATCAGCAGTTGTAGAGTCGCAGCTATCTAAATCATTCTGCAGCTATCTCTGCCTGCACTGCCTGCCAAGTCCCGCCGTTAGCGTCCTGTGCCCTAGAAAGATGGCCAGATTGCTCCAAAGGCACGACTGTTGCTGGACGTCTGTTCAACACATTGTACCTAGAGATCTTTCACAGAGCCGCATGACTGGCTGTGAGCTAGCAAGCCGAGGTTTTGGCATTAATTTTGATGCCGTTCACCACATATCCAGTGTTTAAATTTGGAGTTTCCCTTTATTGTATTATTCATACAAGCAAACACAGGATCCCTGTTGCTTGATGAGTGCAGTGTAGTATGCTCACTTAATTATGGAGCAACTCTCGTGAGAGAAAGGCTTGTCAGGGAAAATGCACAAGATGAATTTGCTACCACAGCTTCTTTTGCTAATAGATTGCGGGAGATATGATAAGCCACGTCCTTGTTTCGTTGTAAGCAACACCAGTCCGACCGTACTTGAGATGTTTATTATTGTTATTAATATTTTGTCAGGAAGCGGGAACTGAGTGACACACAGCCCTGAAAGGGGCTTATTAAAAGAAGTTATTGTCTGCGATCGCCGCAGAGAGATACAACACAGTGATTAATGGTGTGTTTTACAGTTGACAAAAAGGCGCAGGGAGACTCAGACCTGAGAGTACAGGACTGAGAAATCACTGCACGGAAATTGCTAGGTATGGGTTACCTCTAATAAAAGAAAGCATTCTTCAGATGTGCGACATCATGCGCTGCACAGAGCTGCAGGCAGAAACAAAACTGTTCTGATTTCTTCTTTGTTTGACCTACTTAATGCTCTCTGATTCAGATGTTCCATAATTAAAAATTCTCTTGTTGTTTTTTTGGTTTTGTTTAGATATTTTATCACTATTGCATCATTTAAGCCTGGAGTCGAAAACAAGGCGGTTCTAGCATTTGGCTCTGCGGTTTGACAGGTAGTGGGACAACATAAAGAGACACAGCATTATAGCAGTTTCTTGTTAGTCTTAAACTGGAATAAATTTAGCCCGTCTCAGTCACGCTGTCTCAGTGTCTTAGCTTCAGAAGCATCCAGATGATGTCACTAGAGACTTGCAGCAAAAGGTATTCCTTTAAACCCGAGGTGTCTATTTCATTGATGGGTAAAACGCAGAACAGAAACAATCCTATAGACATTTAGATGTGACAATCTATTCGGTATAGTCCAGTCATTTTCCCTTCCTTTCCTTCCTTGTCCTATTTCACATTATCTGTTTTCGAGGTAAAGTCAAAACTGGCAGCCTCTCACTTTATCGGCCTTTTTTCCTATCAGACACTTATCAAAGCTCCTTTCTTCTCCTCCTGCCACTGTTTGCATTGCTCTTATCACAGCAAGTAAACACTGGCAGTTATCTCGCTGATGGTGACATCTCATAAGCCACATCTGCTCTGCTGCGCATCTGGTGTGCAGTAGCAAAGTGTAAGTTCTGTGAGTGGATAAAAATGACGCGCACAGATGATATTGTGATGGCTCACATTGACCAGAATGCCTGCTGACAAACTGATAGATATAGTGGCTTAGTACCATGTAATAATGCACTAATTCAGTTCACACGTATTTAGATTTCTGCTACACACCTGTAATGTTCTTTCAGTGCCTTGTGCACAGTTGAGATACTATTATGTTGACACACCAGCCTACTGCAGTAGGTGTCTCTAGGATCATGCATTACAAGGACCATATAGACACTACTCATCGTAGTATAAATCAGTCATGACGAAAACAATCATTAGAACACGGCTGATTATAGACATTCATATATGTCAACTTGCCCAGTGGTTTCCTGTCGTTTTCTACCAGTCACTAAATAAAATGTGGCCCACAGTAGTACTTGTGTGACTGGACACTGTAACCATCTCCTCCCCCTCTCTTAAGGGAAATACACCATGTCAATCCCCAACCTCTGTCCCTTTGGGAAGATCCATTAATGCCCAGAGGGATACCGGCTGCAAGCCAATGGAGAGGTGAGCGGTAAACACTCGAGCTTTACTCTCTATAAACACATCCAGAGGTATCAGCAGTATGTTGGCTGTGTATACTATCTAGTTCAAGTGATGTCACAAGGGGCAGTGGATTTAAGCAGGTTTTAGTTTGATGCTAATCCCCTTGTGGCAAACGCAGTGGACAAGAAGACTACGCCTGCCAATGGCGTGCATCAACCCCCAGTGGATTAGTTCGCCTTGTCCCCTCCTCCATTCTGCTGCCATTGTCCAGCATGTGTTTTTTAACCCCAATTTCTCACCCTCAGTCTTAGCTTGGAAAGTAACCGTGATAACCAGCACAAGCATGACCTCTGCAGTAGAATGGAGCAGAGCTGCAACCTAAAGGTGTGTTAATTTTCTGTGTGTTTGTATTCTTTCTGTGTTTTTATCATGTTGGGCCTCTCTCCCCACAGATTTCTCATGTTTCCAGGACTGAATTATTTAAATAGGTTGCCAGCAGGGAGCTACATGATAGCATAGACTGAGAAGTGAGGGGAGGGGAGGGGGGCTTTCGGTTGCACATCAGGTAAAAGGGTACCTCCTGCTTCACCTTTCCTTTTTTCCTCTCAGTTCCTCTCTTTTGATTGGGGCTGAGTGTAACTGGAGAGTTGAAATACAACACCTGGCTCTATTTTCCGCCTTTATAGCTGCCCTCTTTATTGTCTTCACTGATGCCTAACTCAAGTGAACAGTCGTGTTTTGGTGGCTCTCTGAGCCAGCGTGGTCCTGAATGGAGTGAAGGCCAGAACGATAGGGCTGCAAGTCGCTGTCACTACTGCGGTAACATTGCAGGGTGTAGAAATTCTTCTGCACTGTGTGGGGAAGACGGAGACGTTTGGTTTCACGGTCACCTAGATCTTGGGGAAAAACGGGATCCAGTCCTCCACTCCTCTCTATACAGACAGATCCAGCAGGACCAGCATGGGCAGCCACCACTGAAGAAAACCTCTGTACCTGACCTAAGCAGCAGTCTCTACCTCAAGGAGCTAATGGCAGGCCGGGCCTCAGCACCACCTCAGGATTATTACCTCACTGACGCCACCTTATCTGGTCATCCACCTAAGGAGTCTGGGTTTTACAGGGATAACCAGCACTTGCTCACCAGATCAGCCTTGCATTATGGGCCCAGCGTTGGGGGGGTTAGGTCTTCCTGGGATCAAGGACAAGCAAGAGCCACACCCTCTTTACTGGCCTCTGCTTCTACACCTACACCCGCACCTCTTCCTCCTCCCCCTCCTCCCCCGCCTCCTCCGCCACCACCTCCCCCTCCGCTTCATGAGCTGAGCCGTTTGTACAGGGAAACTCTGGGATCTAAGATGATCCCAGACGTCCAGCGTATTGGTGGCAGCTCTCCCGCTACTGCGATCTTCGGGGCTCAGCCCCCGCTTCCTGTTTACGCTGCTGAACCGCTGTCTGCTCGTCAAACTTACAACAGTATCAACAGCTTGCGCCTGGATCCCCTTCAGCCAGCTGCCACCAGTTCATTGGTGGATCCAGCTTCTCAGGGAATGGACGCAGCTTTCCCCAGGGCTTACGGAGCTGTAGCCTCCCAGAGGCTGCCTTATGATCCAAACTATGACCCCAGCTCAGCCATGGTGGCTGCCACAGCTGGAATGGTCTCCACCTTGCCTCCTCACCAACCCAGTGCTGCAGACCCTAAGAAGATGGTGGACCCTGCTTTCTTGGCTTTCTTAAGAGGGGAAGGCTTGGCTGAAAGCACAATTACACTTCTGCTGCAACATGGCTTTGATTCCCTTTCCACACTGGGGATGATGGAGGACCATGATGTTAGGTCTGTGGCCCCTAATTTGGCCCAGGCCCGTGTTCTGTCACGAGTGGTGCTCAGTTGCAAGACAGTTGGGACGGCAACACGTGCCCGATCTAATAGCTTCAGCCATCGCAATGACCTCTACGTGCAGCCCCAGGGTTTGACTATGGACCCCAACCTGATGCAGCAACCTCCCACCACTGTCCAGACAGTTTCCCCTAGAATGGGAGAATTTCTGGGTAGAAGACCGAGCAGCGCACCCTCCCAACATCTCCTGGAAACCACCACCTACCCAGGAGCACGGCCGCTGGCACCTGGAGCTTTTCCAGTCAGCCCTGGAGGATATAGCAGTGCTGTGACTCAGGGAAGACCCTTCTCCATGTATAATGCCCACACCGGTCTTGCCATGTCTGCTCTCGGAAACCAGCCTCCACCTGCTCCAGGCACCCCTGGAGCTGCACCTAAAACCTTCTCTGGCTCCTATTCCCCGATGGAACTGATGAAGAGAGCCCCCAACTTTCCCCCAGCATCACCTGTAGGAGCAGCAAGCCCCCTTCACAGCCCACAACTTCTCCGCAAGGGGATCAATGCTGCTCCTGAGAGTACCATAGTTCCCGTCAGCTCTGCCACCACTCTTCAAGCGCAAAACCTTAACAACAACAAGATGGTGGGACGCCGCACCGGTCCACCTGTCATAGTCTCAACCATGGTCACTACGCCTGACACAAGTAATGTCCAACCTCACTTTTCTCATTAATTTATGCAAACCTTCCATCCTTATTGCTGAATAACCTTTTTTTTTGTAAGTTGGTAATAATTTTCTTCTTTATATTAGTTCTACATATTTTGACATGGATTTTGGCATACTAGGAAAAAAATCACACTGACAGTGTTTTTGAATGGAGGAGTAGCATGCAAGATGCATCTGACAAGTTAAGTAGCTATGCTCGGAGGGGTCTTCTTTTTTGAATTACGCAACTATTTATACATGTATTGCAAGAGAGTTGTGTCATTTGCCAGAGGGGATCCTGTCTCATCATCAAGTTGAAATATTTCTTTTGAGCAGCACTGCTTTTATTGAGGTCAACATTTTTTCCATCTATTTCTTTTTAAAATTGTTGGTCAGAATTATTTTCAGGCACGAATGTGCTTTTGGAGTGGTTTGCAGCTCCGTTTTGCTTTTCAAGGTTGCCTGCACTTGATTTGGTGAAGTTAGAAAGCACATTTTAAACACTTTTGATTATTTAAGTGTAAGATATTAGACAGAGTGAGTTAAGTGACAGAATTGCATCAATGTTAAGCTTGTCTTATATGTAAAAGTTTATTTCCTTGATACAGAGCTACTGTCATTCTATTTTACGCTGCACTCTCTCCTAATCTGGGGCTTAACCGCCTCAAATCCAATTACACTAATTGGATGTATATTTGCGTCGACTATAGGAGGTAACTGTTTTTATAGACTCCACGCTTCCACTCAAATCCTGCTTCCAGTGCAGCGCAACTAAAAGAGTGTTTCTTTTGTTATAAACTCAAATTTAACTAATATATTGAGTTTATTAAGTAAATGTCCACTGATCTGCATTGTACACGTTTTCCAACATGCTCCAAGAAGCAGTATACAGTTTAGATTGTAAAATCACTGCTAATAAACAGCAGTTGATGTTCATTTCGAAATTTCATTATAGCTTTTTTCATAGTGACAGAGCCATTAAGGAAATAACTACTAAATTAATATGTTTTTGGAGCTTTCCTAAGTGTGCTTTTATATTTAGATCTGCGGAAATACAGTTATTAATGGGCCTCAAAGGCCCATTAATAACAAAGGCTAACACAAGTAGTGAGGTAGCGTTTTATGTCCAGATACTGCAAGTGAATTCTCCAATGAGGCATCATCTCAGCTTATTTTGATTTCTCCTTCTAACTAGTTGATATATTTCCCGGCTGATGAGAGCTGATGAGCTTAGGGAGGAATTAAATCTTTTAACCTTGTTTTCAGCCGTGTAACCCTGTATCTTGCCGGCCTCTCTAATGGGTCCGTGGGCCGCTGCACTTGTTATAGAGTAATGACTTTTATGAAGTGGCTTCCCTTCATGTGTTGTCAAGGAAATAAGAAGCGAGGTGTGAGAATCAGAAGAGGGAGAAGGAGATGTGGGGGAGGCAGGAGGGTTCCTCTCGCAGTTTCGCGGAAATGTACGCGTCTCTCCAAGGTCACGGCGACGGCCGAACGTACCCATAACACTTTTAGCAAACAAACTCATTTGCATGGCGCTGACATTTGTTGCTTCACTAACTTCATCTGATAATGGGCGGCCCTTGCTGCTGATTGGAAAGCGTACTTCTTAATTGTGTGTTGCCAGGCAACATAGGTTTCAGTGGTAATCAGAGGCAGATAATCTTCACATTTAAGGAAACAGGAAAGTGGAGCTCCGCATTCAGTGTTACACATTTAGTTTTTTTTAAACTTGTTACTTTTTTGCAGAGATAATTGAGTGAAAACAATAAGACGGTGTAGGCCATTTCTTTTACCCACCCGCTCCCCCTGAGCAGTGTACATCTCAAGAAATTGCTAGTCACTTTTCTGCAGAGGCGCTTGTATATCTGTGAAGAGCCTCTCGCATTACATGCATGGCGTTTTATGTTAAAACATGCATATTGATGAAAAGTTGACACGTAATTCCTTTTACACGTCCTGAATAAATCCTCCCAATACGAAGCACTGTCCTTTTCATCGTCTCACATTAAAGTGGACGTTTACACATAGCGTGAAGGCATCTACATTATCGTACCATTAAATTCAAATTTATTCTCCAAGGAGAGTTGTAAAAACAAAGACGTGAGCAGAAGTGAAATCGGTGCTTTCTTAAAATATTTATGTAGATGTAGGTGCAGGTGGGAGGGCCCTGCCTCCTCTCCGCTGGGCGCTGTCTTGGTTGGCTAAAGCTGTAAGTAGTGTTAATAATGGCATTAAACGGTTGAGTCAAGCTCTGTTGCACCATTTCCTTCAACCTTAAGTAGGGAGAGGGCCTCGAAGCACTTGCATTGGCCATGGAGTTGTCCGTCAGTGGCATCCCACAGAGCGGCACAGGTGGGTGAAACTTTCAGTGTCACGTGAAGCAGAAGAGCCATTTCCCTGGCTGTATGTGCGATTGGCTTGTAGCCTGAATTGTGTGCGTGCTCAGTAGATTAACAAAGGTGGACACTTGCACGTGGTTTCCTTGTGGAGATAATCCGCAGAACATCTTCAGCTGTACTTTTCTGGGCTGGAGAATTAGCAGGCAGTGTGGGGAGGAGACGGGGTATATTTTGGGAGCAGAGCTTGTAACTTACAGGGAGGAGTGAGACCAGAACTTGGCAGCAGCGCCTCATAGCCATATGGGATGTGTCAGTTGATGTGTTTACCTGAATAAGTCTGTTCTCTTGGTGACACACTCGGTGCCCAGGTTGTAGTCAAAACACAGCAGATCACCTTTTTTTTTGCCTCTGAGAGGAAACCATTGCTGTTTGTGGCTGACAGTTATGCAACCTTCCAGTGCATGGTTCCCATGGGGGGCCTGAATGGGATTTTAATTTCCCTGCCTGTGTTTGGAAGGACATTCACGAGGATGCATGCCTAATGTGCACTCAGCTGTCCTTGGCTAAACTGCTTTGTGTTCAGGTGTCTGACGTTGATTTCACTGTGCACTCGTACATGTTTTTCCCCCTAGCTAGGTGGAAAGAAACAACTCCCTGTGTGTCATTTTGGCCCTAGACTAGTACTTGCAAATGCTTTAGCAACAAGGTAGCGTCTGTCTTCCTGCGTAGCCACTCTGGTTTTGATTCTATGGGAGCAAAGCGCTTTGATTTATAGCTAACATGGTCACACATGCATAACTCCAGATATTCATGCATTACGATATATGGCTGTGTGTGTGCGCGCTGGTGGAACAATGAACGAGGTTGGCACAATCCACCATGCTGCCACACATGCACACAGACAACAGATGCCCGTCTCTCAACAGCAGGAAGTGCTCATTTTCATCAGGATGGCTGAATGTGATGAAGCTGACAGCAGGACACAGAGACAAGACCTTAAGTTTCCTCTATTTGTCTCTCTCTTCCTTTTACTAGCACTATCTACTATACATATAAAGTGCCGTCAGGAAGTGTTGCAGTAGAATTGTTTTAGCTCTGCTTTAAAAAAAATATCAGCTAACTTAAAAACTAGGCACATCACGAGCTACTGGAGCACAGCTGAAAACGTCTGTTTTTCTGATGTGTATGTGTATGTGCAAACATGTATGATCCAGGCTCCGTTTTCTTTAAATTCAAATGCCCTGCGGTGTTAAGGCAACACAAAAATAACTTTCCTAATACTTCCTGGCTGAACTGCATGTTTACCCTTTCCTTACTTGTTCTTAATGCAATTATGGGTTACACATTATTATTGTGGAGGGCTAATAGCTTAAGGCAGGAATAGGCGCAGAATTAGAGAGGTGGAAGCCTGCTGTCCACATGTATGTGTTTGTGCATGCTACTATACAAGCATCACGTGTTGCTGACAGTGTGTCATCCTCGCTAATCCCACTGATATGAATGAAGGGAGACAGACAAGAAGGTTCAGCTCACACATCGTCGGTACGGAGTTATTATGTGGAGCTGTAATAAGCATCTATATGTGCTTTTGTATTAACGCCTTATAATCACGCACATGCAAAACCCTCACTCCTTTAAAGCTGCAGAGCAATTTATTCAGTGCTAACTCTTCGTTTTTTCCCTTTTTTGTTCACATAAAAGAGTAAATGTGTAGTAATTGTAGCCTTTGTGCTTATTACCTGTAATTTTATTGAAAATAATTGTGCAACAAACTGAATGAACTCATAACATTTGGACAATTTGTTCTGTAGTAAGTAAAACACATGATCGGTGGTAATCGGTAAGAAACTTTCCTACCCCGTGTGCTTCACAGTAACTTTGGGATTCTTAGACACTTGCCTGTTTGCAGTCTCTCTGTCATGTATCTCCAGTTTCCTTTAAAACCTGGTAGATGTTACATAAACTGTCTGCTGCTCCATCTCCATTAAAAATCCGCATTGTTTGTATCCCCGAGGAAATACGACAAATCTATTTTTCCACTTCAGTATTTATTTCAGAGAGAAAAAAAAATTGAAGGAAAAAAAAAGTGTTTTCGAGCCCCATCCTCACTCACCCCTCCCTCTGTGTTTTCTCATGGTTGATCTTTCCAAACCATCGGTTGCGTTCACAGAGGGATTAATGGTTTCTGCAAAGCCAGCCAACCCGTGGAGGGAATGGAGCCTTCGAGCGAATGAGGAACAGCTGGTCTCCCCCTGCTTGTGACAGCTTGAGTGTTTGAGTGTGTGTTTGTGCGTATATGTGCGATAGTTGCAGCTGACCTCTGCGCAGGGTCAGAGGTGTTCCTGCTCCGAAATAACACAAAGTTTATGTTGCCGCTCTTCTGCATTGCTGATAAATGCCAGTCAGTACTGTCAATAGGCCTATTTAAGTATTACGGGTTTGCAACACAAGTTTTTGTTTATACTCTGCAATTACCCTGTAATTACCCTTCAAGTTTGTGTGTTTTTCATTATTGAGAGAATTTTCTGTTATTTTGTGGTGATCAATTTGCTGTCGTCCTCAGTGCTAAAGGTAACTGCGATGGTGCGATGCATACAGTGTGAGTATGTGCGGGGGGTTTTCTCCAGCTTTTGTGGGTCTTCGTCTGATGACTTGT